TTACAGTAGGTAGCCTCATCAGATTTATGGCGAGGGTGGCGAGAGGATAATCGGGCCCCTTCTATATTTACACTCAGGGGGACGGAAGAAATTCGAGGAAGGACACTATCAAAAATCGAGGTGAGCCACAACTGTACAAACCAAACAGGGCCTGAAAAGTTTCCCGATGCTTTAGGTGTGTTCAAAATTTCGACAGCCTCGTCGAAAGTAGCATACACATGAGCTAGTAGTAACTTGGCCAAACATATCCTAGGCTGACCTATGTGCAGGACATATGCAAGGTCAAAAAGATGGGGGGAAATTTGGATCGATCGGGGGCAGAAAACGTGGGTACACAGCCAATACACTAAGAATGCCACGTGCTCTTCATCGGTAACAGCTATCGAAGGGTCATCGATAAAATGCTTCTCGAGAAAATGACCATAGGCCTTCGATTCCCAATCAATTTTAGACTTCAGAGAATTATCCGAAGGACATGTACCCTTGAAGTATTTTTCCCCCGTAGGTTTTAAGCCAGTAATAGCCGCGACCTCAAAAAGGGTAGGTGAAAGTGGGCCACAAGGTAACTCCAAAGCATGTAAATCCTTATTCCACAAGTGCACCGCAGATAAAAACATTGCCATATCCAAAAACGACAGGTCGCATCGAGACAGATGCAAAAAATCGAAAATTCCAACATCCTTCCAATGGCTCCCAAACTTAGTTTTTACCCTATCAAACCACCTAATGAAAGAGGATTTTTTAGAAGGAGGGCCTGTTCTATATACTTTGGAGGTAAGATTCAAAAAATCAACCCTAACTTCAGGGTGATGTATAAGAGCCGGGCTGATCGAGAGGTTGAGAGGAGAGAAAATGTCATCTATAGGACGAAGTGGACCCCCAAAAGCAAAATTAACCCCCTCAACAGTGTAAGGGATTAGTACCTGCGTTTCAGCAATTTTTCGGGAAGCCTCCTCCATCAAAGGGACTGGAGCGAACTTCTGGTTGTTAATTTCCAGCAGGTTGGAAGGCAACGAGGAAAGAGGTGGAACGGAGAAGTCAGAAGACTTGGAGGAAGTGGCCATTTCAGTAGTGAGTAGGATGAAGAAAAGCAACGGAAAAGATGAAGGTACAGAGATGAAAGCAAGAGCTCAAGGAAGACGATGAAGGTACAGACTTAGGGTAAAAGTTTGCGTAAAAACCAGAACAAAGACCAAGAGAAAGGTTAAAAGAAAAAATCGCCTAGGGAGCTGAAACGACAGACGCGAAAGGTAATAAATGTAGCGTACTGTAAAAGCAACAGACTAATATGATGGCGACGTAAAACGGAAAGGAAAACCTAAAACCCTTTTAACCCTAGAACCCCAGAAACCCTAAACCCTAAATTCCATAGGCTTCCAAACATTAAGGCGGGAATATTGAAAGAATATAAACTGGAATCATTCATATTCTTTCAAGGGGGCATTTTGTTATTGTGAAATCGAGAAATATGATCGATTGATAAATCGGTAAGATAGACAAAAGAAATCATTCGATGTCCAATTAGAAGTACGTAATACATAACATCGAGAGGCACAATCGAAAAGTGGGTGAATGATAACCAAATGCTTGTTGTCAAATAAAAAACTAAAAAACTAGAATCATATGATGTTAAGGTTAAACCCAAAGCAATGCAAAGTGTTCGATATCATCGAATACTAAGGGAACATGGATATCGAAATTTTGGACAAACCACAAAGAGAAGAATAAGTCAAACGCACGTATAGAAAGCAGTTCTGGGACCATGGAAGGAGTCGAGGATCGTGAGAACGTGGGAAACTGTAGAAAAAGAAACCGTCATGCACAAAAGAACGTGGTAGTAGTCTGATTAACTGTTCTTGGAAGGCTTGAAGGAGGCCCTATAAATAGAGAAAAGAAGGAAAGAAAAAGGGAAGCAGAAATTGGCAGAGAACGAGATCGAGTAGTGAAAGGTCTACCGGAGAAACGACGAACACCATGAAGCTTCTGGCAATCTGGATTTCCTTGCTCACCGAGTACATTTATCGCTTTCTTTATTTTCCTTGGTAATTTATTTTCAAGCCATTCCAATTCAGCAATTTCATATTCTTGTATATTTCATTCAATGTCATTTCGATTTCCGCATATTTCGATTTCCTGTTATTTAACTTTGTGCAATCTTAATGGGTTTTAGCAATTTACATTTCTCGCGCATTTCGATTTCTTGTCCTTTATTTCTCTTGCAAACTTAATTTCTGGTCATTTACGTTTTCACCGTTTCCGATTCTTAGTCATTTAAAGTTAATGCCCCTTTGGGGTTTTCAGGCTTTCTGCAATTTAATATTCTCTCTTCTCGATTCAATACTTTATTGCTTTGTTGAAATCGAGCATTTTAAACATAAAATACTAAAAATAGGATTTCTTGACACTTCTAGTTTTCGATTCTCATACACGTTTTCGATTGAAAAACAAATTGCTAGCCTCAGTAAAAAAGAACTTACATGGTAGAATTTCGATTAGGACCAAAACATCCTTAGGATCGAAATCGATCAAAATTCCACCAGAAACACTAAGTAATAATGATTATAACAAACGTAAAATATCTGAAATTTTAAAGTGCTGATAATAATTAAAATAAGATGAAAATCTAATAAAATTATTATTATTATTTAAAATTAATATAATTAATATAAAATAAGTAAAGAAAAAATGAAAAAATATTATATATTTTATTATAAAATTATATTAAAAAAATATTTTTTTTATTAAAATTGGTTCAACCCAAGAATGTAATCAATTTTTCTGATTTTGTACCTATTTTGACTTTTGGATAAATTTTCAGTTAAACTTACCAAATTGATTTTCAAAACAATATTTTTAATAGATGTTTATTACTAAATCTAAGGACTTTATTAAAATAGATAAAATCAATAAAATTCGATTATTAAATTTCGATTTAAAATTAATTAAAATAAAATTGTCTCAAAAATAGGCTAGGAAAGGGAGATTATTCTTTATCTATGGAAGGTTGACTTTTCTATTGAGAATCATACTTACAAATATTGTTCAAATGCTTCCATGGTTGATATCACCCTTGCATTGCAAATGACATCACGTAGAGAAAATGATGGAAACTGTGATCCAATGAGATCATGCCACATCATCAAGTGACAAACTAGCCATGTGGGTGGTGAACATCACACAGCACTGGTTTGTGCCATCCACGGCGACCTCTCGTAATATCCCAACTTGGTATGATCTTTGGGCTAAGTACCCACTTTCCTTCTTTTGTCTTTCGCACGTTAATTAGACGCCTAAACAAGATAATTATGATGCTTTTGAATGATTCCTATGAAACTACATGTGAACAAAGTGGTTGTATTTGTCAACTTCCTCCTCCTTCCCCACACCACAAAACTCCAATATTTCCTTCCTTTTCATTCTACTCAAGAATCAAATATATTATTACTTCAAAATTTCTTCCACAAACATGTTATTCTTATATTTTTCTGTTTCCAAATCTCACTTCGGTCTCTTTTAGTTGACCTTCTCTTTTACTTGTGGAACAAGCCATTGCATATAATTTTATAAATGTCAAATGTTATATTAAATTTTAAGAATTTATAAAAAAATAAATTAATCAACTTCACTAAAAAAAAAATACTCGTCTGAAGCATTCTACTAAGTTAAGTAACAATGATAATATCACATCCGTGATATTTTCTGCCCCATGTTAGACCAAATTTATTTATAAAAGTTACTAGAAAAAAATAAGAAGAAAAGTTGAATATAAATTTTTAGAATATTTCATGGAAAAAGTAGTTTAGGCAATGAAAAAACTGTAAAAAGTGAGAATTGAAGGGATGGTGAGACTTATAGTAAGAAAAGGATGAAGAAGAAAGGTTGTGACGGTGAGGATATGAATTGTCTTTTTCCCTGAAACAGCAGAGAAAATTGATTGAGTGTGATGGTGGTTTACGTCGCAATTTGTCTATTGAGGCTAGTAATGGTGGTGCTTTACCTTCCACACACGGTGATCCCCATTATCAGAGCATTATGTGGCACCAGAACAGTGACTCAAAACGAACCTCTTCATCACACGTCTAGGTACCCTCCTTTGGCTGCTCAAAATCCGTGAACGTCATTGCCTTTTACTTGGCAGTTTCAAGAAAACCAATACATGCCAATACCCCCACCGCCCTTTCCACCCATACCCATTACCCTCTTCTTACAACCAATAAATAAATGCTAATCAACCCAATCATCTTTGGCTCCATCTCCTTCCTCAATCCTTAATCAATCATCATCAACCATCCCACCGCCGTTACGTTTTTTGTTTTTTTCCTTCTTTATACAAATATACATTCATCAACACTCAATCCTAACTCTTCTTCCCTTCCAATTTTCTTCATCCACACTCCCTCCATTTCCATTCCACTTTAACATTTAAAACCCACTAGCCTACACGTGTCACGCGACAGCGTTACACACCACGTGTCAACATCGGAACACGTGATACGTGTCTATGAAGCAACCCAAAAATATAATCCACATCACCTCAAATGAAGTTTGGGGATGGAAGTAGCCGATTTATTGGGCTCACACTTACCAAACTTTACCTTACCCAATTGCTCAATTCCTCCTTTTTCCTTCCTTTTTGCGCGTATTTATATTTACACGTAAATAAAATAATATTAATAATTATTAAAAATGAAAAAAAAATACTAAATAAGAATACCCCCACTATATATAAATAAAAGTATTATATCCATGAAATGAAAGCATATATATTTAGAAAAAAGAAAAGAAAAGAAATGAAAAATCTTGGAATTGCCACCACCATAGCTGGTCACATCCTATATATCCCACACCCGAACCAGCCCACACACTTTCCTTCGTTTCATCCAAACGAAACCAAACCCTTTCTCTTTCTCTCTCTATCGCTTTGTCTTTCTCTTTTTCTCAATTGGTGTGAAAGAAAAGGGAACGGAATCGCATTTCGAAAGTGGAAAACGAGAGAAACGATGCAGCATCAGCAGGAGCAGGAGCAGGAAGAAGCTTCCTCTCATCATGACAAAGCATCGCCGTCTCCCAGTTTCAGCAGCTACTCCTCGGAGACACTCGCGGAGATCGCCGCCAGAGTAATCGAGGAGCTCCGCCGCGATCCTTACTCCGACGACGATGTCGACGCGCTCTTTCCGACGTGGGAAAAGGAAAAGGAAAACAAGAACGACAATGACTTCACCGTGCAAAACGACGAGCCGACGGAGCAAAACGACGAGGACGATTTCGAGTTCGAGTTCGCGTTCGTTTCCCGAGACTTGGCTTCTCCGGTTTCCGCGGACGACATTTTCTACAACGGCCAGATCAAGCCTATGTACCCAATCTTCGGCGTTCCCGCACACGACGACGTTTTGAGTGTTCCGAATACAACTAACACAGCCGCAACTCCCGAAGGGACAGCGAGACGGCGTCGTCTCCCTCTAAGGAAGCTAATGTTCGAGGAAGGCGAAACGACGTCGTGCTCGTCGTCAACGGACGAGAGCGTTGACCTGGAGGGGGTGGCGGAAGGCGCGTACTGCGTGTGGACTCCGAATTCCGTTGGGAGGGAACGGAAAAAGAGCAACTCGACGGGGTCCGCGTCGAAACGGTGGAAGCTTCGGAATTTGCTTCTGAGGAGCCACAGTGACGGAAAGGATAAACAACAACAAAAACAACAGCAAGTGGTGTTTCAGATTCCGACCAACAAAGTGAAGCCCCAAAACGGAACCGTCGGAACGGAACATCATGCGGAACAGAACAAGAGGAAGTCTTTCTTGCCTTACAGACCGGAATTGGTTGGACTTTTCACCAATGTCAATGGACTTGGTCGGAATTTGCGCCCCTTTTGATTTTTCAACGCGAATTAAACAATATTATTAGTTATTAATTATTAATCCATTTTCTTTTTTCTTTTTTCTTTCCAGATTATCATATCCCTCCCCTGTTCTATTAGCTCTTCGTGTTCATCTTTGGTTTGTTGGTATGTTTCGATCTTTTTTGGGCGGGTATATTTGTAATTAAGCGGATGAGATTGTAGTATTTATTCTTTTTATGATGTATATTATATGGAAATTTTAAGGTTTTTTCCCCACCGTTTAGCTTTCTTCTATTAGTTATGATTTTTCAAGTTTTGTGGTGGGGCTAGCTGGTTTGTATTTGAAATTTTGTATAGAATGATTATTTAGTAGGTGGGGGCTAAGCATATAGAGGGTTACTTTTCGACTCCTATTTAGTACATGGTTTTTTTAAATCTACAATATATATAAATAAATATAAAGGGTGATTTGCTTTTCAAGTTTAATCAAATTATATTCGATGTTCTTTCCTTTTTCCAATTTTCTCTCCTTTTAATTTATTTAACTAGGTATATAAAAAAGAGGTTTTGTTAATGGAAAGAGTGTGTAGTATTGTGTTGTTACCTGTAAAGATAATTTTGATTGAAGGAGGAAGACGTACTTGGAAGGACTAACGTCTAGGATTTGTTCATAATATATACCAAATTTATTTTGTCATTTGTTTTTTATGAAAATATCACAAAAGATTGTAATAAAACTAAAAAAAAAAAAAACTGGAACTCATTATATCAAGAGATAATTTTGTATTATATAAATAATAATTTTGTATTATATAAATAATAATTTTGTCATGTGTAAGAACTCCATCCTGTTTATTGTTTATATTATATGAGAAACATGTTTTATGCATATTTATTCATGATTAATAGTATATACGTGTCAGTATAAACATAAAAGGCATTAGCTTAGGTTCAAAATTTTATAATAACTTTCAATAGCTTTGTTAAAGTAATTTTAAAAAAATTATCATAAATTGAAAATCATAAAAATCGATAAACCTATTAAGAAATTTGAATTAATTAGAAATTAAGAAGTAGATTACTGAATAGAATTATTCTTTCTTGGTAAGTTGTTCCGCCTCTAAAATAGGTATCAAATAAAATTCCGTCGTTAATTTGTTAGAAGAGCTTAATTTTTCATAAATAAAATATTATTATTTTAATTAGAAGAATTATAATGAAAATTTAGAAAGAGGAGAACGGTTGGAAAAAAAGAGGGATGGTGGTTTTGTGGTTATTTTTGCAAATTGCAACATACGTGAAAGTTGACAATATTTGTAATTTTTGCACTTTCGGGTAGATTTTTAACGCGCTTTAAACTTGGGTTAAAATAAAATGTTCAAAATAAAAGTAATAGTCGAAGATTTCAAAGAAAAGTATAAAGAGAAGGACCTTGGTTGGATAAATAATTTAGGAATGGGAACTCGTGGAAATTTATAACTGGGAGAATCAAACGTGTACGTTATAATTTTCTCAACAAGTTTTAATACATGCAAAATTTTTAATTAACATATATTTTTTTATTAACGGCTTAAGCTAAAATAAGAACAAAATGTTTATATCATTGTTAGTAGAAAATTGAGAAAAGTGATCGAAAAACGAAGAAAAGAAAAATCGAGAAACAAGTGATTCATTGATAAATCGAAAAGACGGATGAGAAATCATTCGATGTCCAATTAGAAGTGCGTGACATATAGAATCGAGAGTTAAAATCGAGAATCAAAGGAATAATAAATGACGTTAAGATCAAGAGGAATCGAAAACAAATTCAAAGTTCTCGAGATTTTAAAATCGAAATTGAGGGGAAGGCTAACCTACGTAAATATCGAAATCTTGGCCAGATCATAAAGAGAAGGAGTTAAACGTGCACATAGGAAGCAGTTTCTAAATCGTGGCAGAGGTCGAAGATCATGGGAACGTGGGTGCAGTTTTGACACCACAGAAGAAGAAACTGCAACGTGCACGAAGAACGTGGTATCAGTTTTCGTTAACTGCTCCTAAGAGGCTACTTGAAAGATGATCTATAAATAGAGCGAAAGATGAAAGGAAGGGGGGGTGGAAAAATTGGCAGAGAACAGAAATACTAGTGAGAAGTCTACCGAGGAACGACGAACATCATGAAGTTTCTGGCGATCTGGATGTCCACGCTTATTGAGTACCTTTACCGCTTTCTTTATTTTCCTTGGTAATTTACTTTGATGCATTTTATGTTTAGCAACTTTAAGTTTCTGTGTTTTCGATTCCTGGTCAATTTCAGTTTAATGGAAGTTAAGTTTTCTGCATTTAAATTTCTTGTCCTTTAACTTTGATGCAAATTCGATTTCCAGTTATTTACCTTTTCTGCGCATTTCGATTTCTTGCCATTTACATTTCTGTAATCTCGATTTCCCGTTAGTTCCACAATTTCGATTCCTTGTCATTTACACTTAATGCAGGTTTAAGGTTTCCGTACTTTACATTTCGTCGCAATTTAATATTCGGTACTGCTTTTTCAATTTGATATTTTACTGCCTTTTTCTCTTCGAGTACTATAAATACAAAATACCAAAAATAGTGATTTCGATAAGTCATGACACGTTAGTGGGATTATCTCGATATTGTGATATTTTCGATTCTCATATGCATCTCGATTGAAAAAACATTTGCTAGCCTAAGTAAAAAGAACTTGTGTGGTTGAGTTTTGGTTAGAACAAAATATCTTAAGAATCGGAATCGATCAAAATTCCACCAGAAACAAATTGGCGTGCCAGGTAGGGGATAGCCTTGTGTTAAAAACACAAATTGGTTAGTTCGAGAGTGTATGAGATTAAGGAGTGGGCGAGTTATAAGAATGAGTCAAAATTCATCAAATAACCAGAGTAACAGTGAGGGTCTAAATGGTGTACATTCACCAAATACTGGGGGGCAAAGTCATAATGGGAATATGCATGTAACATCGACAACTGCGAGTATGTCGATACCTGTGGGTAACGAACAAAATTCAGGTTCCTTAACAAACACCCAAGTAGGATCTAGTGCGGTGGTACCAAATAATATGCAAACTATGGGAAACCCCACAACAACATATGTAGGGCCATATATGAGTGTAAGACCGCCTGGGTTTTCGCTTAATAATATGAGTGGGGCTGGAACTTCTTCAACACAGCGAAATTCGAGATATAACTTAGCAATGCCTCAAACACTAGGTATGCCGCAGAATTTTGGAGTCCCTCCGAATTTAGGGACATCTCAAAACTTAGCAATCCCCCAGAATTCAGGAAGTGGACAGAATTTAGGCACACAACAAACACCTCCAAATCTAGATCATAGAGGAAATCTAGATCATAGAGGAAATTTGGATCATGGAAGATATACATTCGATAGAGTTATCATTGATCAAATTTTGAGACTATCGAAAACACTGGTACTGGGATATCCAGTAACTCATTAGGAATACTTAGACAACAAATGGATGAGAGCAATTTTGAGATGGTGAATATGTTATCACAACAGTTGATTACAGTCCTAAATCCATTAGTTCAAAACACTACTGCTAGTTTTGAGATATTAGCAGACCAAATGTCACGAATCGGGGATGCATTGGCTGTACCTCGACGAACAAGGGTAGAAAATCATGCTAACCAAAATGCTAATATCAATCCCCCGTATCTATTGAGGAGAAATCGAAACAATGATCAACATCAGCATACGGGGAACGAATACCAACAGGTGAGGAATGATATTTGTGGGAATCTGAATGAGGGATTTCAAAATATGTACAATCAGAATAACATGCAGTATAATCACATGTTAGGACAGAGGATGAATTTCCAAGGGATGGAATTTAGACCACCCAATCAAACATACTTTGTGTCTCCCTTCCCAAATGCGATTCTCGAGACGGAATTACCTCGAGGATACAAAGTACCTAAATTCACCAAATTTGCTGGAGAAGTTGGTGAATCAACTATCGAGCATGTAGCTCAATATCAGATCGAATGTGGGGACCTAGCGATGAGTGAGAAATTAAAGATGAAATATTTCCCTAGTTCTTTGACCAAGAATGCTTTTACTTGGTTTACTTCGTTGCCACCCAATTTGATATATAATTGGCTGCAACTGGAAAGAAATTTTCATGAGCAATTCTTTAGGGGAGAAACTCAAATAAGTCTCATCTATTTGATGAATATAAAAAGATACAATCATGAAAGCATAGATGATTATTTGAATCGATTTAGACTAATGAAGTCGAGATGTTTCACTCAAATTCCTGAATATGAATTAGTCAGAATGGCCTCTGCAGGATTAGAATTCTCGATTAGGAAAAAATTAGTCAATTTACCATTGAATGACATGGCTCAACTAGCTGATAAAGTGAGAAGAGTGGAACAAATTGAGTATGAAAAACAAAGGTATAAAAAATATGAGAAACCCATGAAAAAAGAAAGAGTAGCATATATAAATGATGTATATGAGACAGATCCCATGACAGAAAATGATATTGAAGAAACTGTCGACGAGAAAGTAAATATAGCAGAGCTCAAAGTAGGGGCTCCATATATCTGTAAATTGCTACAAAAGAATGAAGTAAAAGATAAAATGGCAAATCGAACTTATACTTTCGATGTGACAAAGGCAGATAAAATCTTTGATATTTTATTAAAAGACAAACAAATTAAGTTGAGTGATGACCATAAACTGCCCTCTGCAGAACAAAGGAATGGTCGAAAATATTGCAAATTTCATAATGTTTATGGACATTGGACTAACAATTGCATACATTTCAGGAATACGATCCAAGATGCGATTGACCAAGGAAGACTGAAATTTGAAGAGATGTCAATGAAAGTGGACACGAGTCCATTCGAAGTTCAAGTGGGGTATATTGAATCCCAAACGGGCATGACTGAAGATGTCCGAGTGACGAATTCTGCTTTTGTAGGCATGGTCGATGTTACTGAAGACATTGATCCCAAGCATGTCAGAATGGATGTATCTGAAGAAGATATGGAATTCGATCTGAGTGAATTCGAAAAAGAATTCGAGAGGGAGATTTATCCTCGATCAGGAGATTCTCTCATCGAGTTTTTAAATAGAAAGAAAGGAAAAGATGAAGATGT